GGTCAAGAAACCTCTCTGAAGCCCCCAGGCAGGATCCTCCCGGTCCAGCCCAGCTCTGTTGCAAGCTGGAAGTGCTCCGTGTGAGCTTTGGAAAGGCTCTGCAGTCCCAGCCGCCGGCAGTGCTGCCGCAGAAATGAGTGGCATCTTCCGTGGCCGAGCCAGACAGCTGCTCTGTGGAGACAAACATCTGCTTTATGTTACACCCCTGCTCTGAGTGTGGGTTTTCTACCTGTGACTGCCAAAACGTCAGTCGTTGAGGGGAACAGAGGAAGCGAGGAAAACGGCTCGAGCTCTAAAATCCAAAGCAGCACAAACTGAATCCCATTCTGCTCAGTGTGGGAAGTGTTTACCTTGAAAGCCAGCGGGAAAACCTTCGGATTGCACAACAAGGCACCAGAACAAATGCACAAACAAGACCTTTTCTCTCCCCACGGATAATCTAATCACCAAAAAGGGAATTCTGCAGCTCAAAGCATGACTCCTCAGGCTGGGGCAGTGTAGATAAAGCCAAAGCTGGTCAGAACAGTGCAACTCATGTTACCTCTAATGGCCGCTTCTAATTTCACCTCCTGTTTTCCCTGGAAAGCAAGGAGAGTCTTGTTTCTTTTGGACGTAATAGATTTGGGGGATGCCAAAACATTTTTCAGTTCTCTGTGGTGTTTAAATGTGCAAGCAGAGCTGTTGCTTGGTGGGAGATGTTTCACTGTTGCAGTTGGTAACTGAAGCACGTGGGGCTGGATGCGCTTTGGCAGAATTTTTGGCTCTGTTGTTGACTTGCTGCCTGTGGTGGACATGTGCATGGGTAAGAAGTCTTGGATCAGGAGTAAGTTGTGGAGCTGGAGGGGTAAAACACTGGAGGGGCATTTGGGTCTCAGTCCATATCACCCCTGTATCACAAATGCTGATGTGCTCGTCCTCGAGTGTGTGCTCATGAGTGTATTCCTCCTGAACCATAGTGAGTGATACTCTGCTGAACCAAAACCCTGCTGGTTTGAAGATAATCCCTCAAAACTGTAACACTAGGCAGGCTCTCTGCATTTTAGGATCATGGTGTTTGGAAGTGGTTCTGGGGTTTTCTCTATGGTTAAAGTTGCAGCCTCTCTGACAAATCCGTGCTGCTGAGGTTTTGCTGTATCGACAGTAGGATGAAAATGAAAGTTAAGTTAAATCAAAAAGAGGGATGCAGCAGAAACCCGTGGGATGAAGTATTGTTGTTTTAGGATCATGTTGCAGAAAGCCTTTAAGCAGATGAAGCTGCTTTGATGGTGCCTTTCCAGAGAAGAGGTGTTCTGCAGCATCCAGCAAAGCTTGCATTCTTTATCCCATCTTCACTGGTCGCCACTGTCCTGCCTCTTAACACTGATCCAGCAGGTACACAACAACTCTCTTGGCAGCTTTCTGTCTGCAAAGCAGCACAATTTGAGGGAGATGCTGCAAGGGCTAGGCTAGGACTTCAGTACGCTCCTTTGTGAGGGGTAGAGTCTCTGGACTGGGCATCTCCTCTGAAATTAAATGGTAATTTTGCCTGGTTTGAGTCATGCATGTAACATGTGGTTTAAGCTTTGGCAGTCCACATATTACAGCATCATGTAGGGTCCTTGGCTGTGACCAGGACCCCAGCAAGAAGGCCCTGTAACAAAGACGAGACGAGGCATAATCCTTCTTTTGAGACCATGTGGGACTTGTGAGTGAGGCTTCTTGAGCAGTGTGTTTCAAGAGAGTGAATCACTTGGGAATGGCTTATGGGGAAAAAATCAAACCAGGTAGATATAACACGAAACTCCTGGGAGAGGGCGTGATGGCATCTCACTTAAAAACATTTGAGAATGTCTTTAGGTGCATGTTTCTCTGCATGCATTGGCATCAGTTGGGCAAAATCTGGTCATTTTGACAACTTATCAAAAAGGATGTTGGAATGGTGAAGTTGTTTCACCCCACGGGGTGCACAGGGGTGCAAGTGTGGCTGGGCTTTATTAAACATCTTAGCTGGTTCCTGAGAAATGTGAAAAGGATTCATTAAACTATGAGGAGCTTGGAAACCACAAACCATTTAGTGAGGAGTTAAAAAACCTCAAACTGTGAAGTGAAACTTCATTTTCCTGTTTTTTTCCTCCTCTTTTTTAGTGAGGCAGCCTGTGAAAATAAGAACTTCTGTCCCTTCCAAAATTCACAGCTTTTAAAAATCTGTATTTTTATGAATAGTGGATGTTTTTCAGAATGTATATGAATATTTCATCTTGTCTCCTCAGCATGCTCTTGGTGGCCACTTGGCCTCCAACCTCTCTGCTTCACACACTTGCAGACATCTCCTCTCAGGGTGTTTCACACTCCAAACAAGGGGAACAGCCATCACTATTACAGGAACTCTCAGGGGTTTAACATCTCTAGTGTGCTATAGGACTCAACATGCTGCTCAGGTTTTTAATTCCCTCATGGTGATTAACAGTCCAGAAAATCACTTGAAACCAATTAAATAATGTAGTCCTGACTGAAGGCTGCTGCAGGCTCTGGGAGCTGCTTCAGAGCAGTCACAGTTGACAGGGTTTTTAACAGGCCCTCTCTACCTCTTCACTTTGCAGACACCCTGTAAATGATTTATCTACTTCATTATTTTCCAACTCCACCAGTAATTGTTTTTTATGAGTTTAGTAAAGCTGCTGTTATCAGTGGTAGCAGTAGTAATATTTTCTCCAGAAAAGCAGGTCCCTCCAGGACAGGGATGGCCCATCCCTGACCAAGGGGACTGAGAGCAGCTGTAAAGGCCAAGGAAGGTCTGTTTGTTCCCACTCGATAGCCTGCCCTTTGTGGGGTTGGGTGACTCTGGGGTTTGTGGGAGCTTTTAAATGTCCAGCACTCCTCTTGAGCCTGCTCTGCAGGGAAAGGGCATTGCAGAGCAAAAGGCATGTTTGCAGCCAGAGCCACTCTTGAGAGTTGCTGCTGCCTGAAGTGGTGTGTCTGAAAAGGGATTTTCCTGCCAGAGTGGCTGGGAATTTGGAGAAGAAAAGCTGGGCGGGGGGAGGTTGTGTCAAACCCTGCAATCACTCTGAGCAAGATGCAGGTGCCCACACATATTCACCCTGGTCTGCAGTTGTACTGTGAGCTGGCTTGGCACACAGGCCATCCAGAAAACTCTCCTGGTCACCTCCCTGCACAGACCTGTCTGTCTCGTGCCAGGGCCTGGATGTCTTCTGCCACATAGATAATCTGGCAGAGAAAAACAAGGTGAAGGGACATGTGGCATTCTGGGGGTGAGGTTTGCCCATGCATTATGGGCCCCCTGGCCCAGAGGTCTGATGGCACCTGCATGAGTCATCAAGGGAGTGCTCCCAACACCAGTGTGCAACCAGTGTCCTGCTCTCTCCCTGCAGCTTGGTGGACTCAGCGCTGGAGGGCAAAGCCAGAAGCCTCCTCTGGGCGTGTTTCTACAGTGTCTTCTGGCTGCCTGCAGAGAAGGAAATGCCAAAAGGGGACCTTGCCCTCTATATCAAGGTAAGCTCCAGGAGCCTCCAGCCCCTCTGGGCTGCTGCCTGGCTCCCCCATGCTGCCACATGAGCAGGGATCCCAGGCTGCTCTGCCCCCACAGGATGTCTAAGCCCACGTCTCTCCTGGGAAGTGTGGGCATCCTTCTCCTCCTCCTGTTGTACAGAGTGTTCAGATGGCTCTCCCTGGTCTGGGAGGAACAGCGGAATGATTGCCACTGCTGTCTGTGTTCCTTGCAGACCCTGAACTCCATGGACAGCATGCTGAGGACGATGGTGCTCAGCTTTCCTGCCTCCAGAGTCAGCGAGGAGCTGCAGGGCATCTTGGAGGTCTGGCCTATGTAAAAATGGGGGATCCCAGGGCTGATTCTCATTTGGGGGAAGAGGAGACATTCCGCTGGGGGGTCTGGGGTGCACTGAAGGCCTCAGGAGGCTTTGTGTGTGATCATGAGGAAGATGTTCTTGATGGAAATGGTTGACAGGCATTGGAAGGGGCCGCCCAGGGAGGTGGTGGAATCCCCATCCCTGGAGGTATCCAAGACAAGACTGGATGTGGCGCTCACTCAGTGCTCTGCTCTAGTTGACAAGGTGGGAATGGGTGCAAGGTGAGATGGGAGCGGCAAAGGACTTTGGAGGGGTCCTGTGCAGCCCCGTGCTGGAAGAACTGTTGAGTGGGGAAAACCTCTTGCTGGTCGGTGGGAGAAAGCGAAGAGGTGAGAAAAGCCATGGTTTCTGTTAAGCTTGAGCAAATGTTACACATTTAATGTGACTGAAGGGCGCAGAGACCAACTCTGCTGTTTGGGGACAGGAAAGGGGTGTCCTGCGGGCACACAGGTGTGTCTGAACATGGGGCCCCTTGGGATGTCCCGAGGAGACACGAGAGCAAAGTGGGCCCTGCAGACACCCTGAGGGCAGGTGGGTGCCCATGGCTGAGGCAGGTCTGTGCCCCAGGGACCCCCTGCCTGTTCCTGGCTGTGTGGTGGCTCCCTGGGAGCGGTTGCTGGAGGCAGGTGCCGTGTCAACAGGCACTGGAACCTGTTTCTGGTGGCAGGTGGTGGGTCACAGTGGGACCCTTTGTGACACCCCACTGCAGAGCGTGTGCTCAGCGTTGCCGTGGCCCACGGGGTACCAGTGTCCGTCAGGACGGCGACTGGATAGGACAGGAGCGCAGCGCTGGCGAGGAGCCTTCGAGTGCAGCCCCGTCTTGTCCACGACCCCTGGCGGCCCCCGTGGGAACGCGGAGTTTGGCTGAGGCGTTTGCCGAAGCGTTTTTTGCCTGAGGCATTTGGGCCAAGGCCTTTTGGCCGAGGCGCTTTGTCTGAGGCATTTTGTTGAGGTTTTTTGGCTGAGGCATTCTCTTGAGGCCTTTTGGCTGAGGCATTCTCTTGAGGCCTTTGGGCTGAGGCGTTTCGCTGAGGCCTTTGGGCTGAGAGGTTTTGCCGAGGTCTTTGGGCTGAGAGGTTTTGCCGAGGCCTTTTGGCTGAGGGATTTTGTTGAGACCTTTTGGCTGAGAGGTTTTGCTGAGGCCTTTTGGCTGAGGGATTTTGCCACGGCGTTTTGCTGAGGCACTTGGCCTGAGGCGATTTGGCCGCAGCATTTTTTCGGAGGGTGTTCGACTCCACCATTGGGACGCCCTCCATAGGCGGGATCCCCTGTGTTGTGTTCTTTTATTCACAGGATGGAGAAGAGAACCCCTGCCCGCCCCAGGCAGGCCTGGATGGAAGACAGCTCTTCCCAGGAGAGCCGCTCTCCAGGTCTGCAGCTTCCGTCCTCCTACGAGGTGACCGCGATGGAGGCCCTGAAGATCGGTGAGTGAGGGCAGAGGGGCTCTGGGGTCTGGGCAGTGAGGGGCAGCTGGGCTGGCAGGAGGCAGTGATGCTGTGGGAGCCTGGGCCTTTCCTGCCTGTCTGCCAGTGCCTTCCTCAGCTTGGGGCACTAGGACTTCCCAAACAGGCATGGGAGCTCCTGTGCTGGGCACCCTTCAGCCAGGAGCCACAATGGAAGGCCGTGCCAGGGCAGCGGGCACAGGGCTGTGTGGAGGGCAGATATCCTTTGCTCCCTCCTCTTGCTGGACCCTCTGCAGCTCTCCCTGCTCTTCCCCCCATCAGATGCCAGCTGGTTGCCCATCTACAAGGAGGAAGAGGAAGCCGTTGATTCCATCCTGGCCTTTGTCACCAGCCCCAACCAGGTAACTGTGGCCAGCTGGAGGGCGGCTGTGCTGATGTCTGCTGGCAGGGGCTGTGCTGCCGGGCTGCTGGAGGGGTGCTGGCAGGGCAGGACTGCTTCTGCCGCAGGGCACTGCACCCCCAGGGCTGCGGTCCCACTGGCTGTGTCTGCCCATTCACATTCCCTGCTTGTGTCTCTGTCCCCTCACTGGCAGGAGGAGAGAGACAAGGCCACGTTTCTTCGGAGCATCTCTGTCCTCTGCAGAAGCGCCGTGAAGCTCGGCCTGACCCAGGGCCTGGATTTGTTCTGTGACGTGTGCCAGCTGTCAGAGAACATCAAGGTGAGGGCACTCCTGGCAATGTGGGGAAGGTGGCAAAGCCCCCTGGCACAGGCAGGCTGTGCGGGCAGCGCTTGGTCAGGTCAGGCAGCGCAGGCACTGGGTGCTGGCAGCTGCCAGGTGCCATCCCAGTTGTGCTCTGCAGGCGCTGCTGGAAGAAGAGCCAAGGGACCGCCTGTGCACGGAGATTCGGCACCTTTCCATGCTGGCCCTCGAGAAATTGAGGTATGTGCCCGTCCGACATGGGCCCCTGGCCCAGAGGTCTGATGGCACCTGCATGAGTCGTCAAGGGGCTGCTCCCAGCACCAGTGTGCAACCAGTGTCCTGCTCTCTCCCTGCAGCTTGGTGGACTCAGCGCTGGAGGGCAAAGCCAGAAGCCTCCTCTGGGCATGTTTCTACAGTGTCTTCTGGCTGCCTGCAGAGAAGGAGATGCCAAAAGGGGACCTTGCCCTCTATATCAAGGTAAGCTCCAGGAGCCTCCAGCCCCTCTGGGCTGCTGCCTGGCTCCCCCACGCTGCCACACGAGCAGGGATCCCAGGCTGCTCTGCCCCTACAGATTGTCTATTCCCATGTCTCTCCTGGGAAGTGTGGGCATCCTTCTCTTCCTCCTGTGGCATGGGGGATTCCGATGGCTCTCCCTGGTCTGGGAGGAACAGCAGAATGATTGCCACTGCTGTCTGTGTTCCTTGCAGACCCTGAACTCCATGGACAGCATGCTGAGGACGATGGTGCTCAGCTTTCCTGCCTCCAGAGTCAGCGAGGAGCTGCAGGGCATCTTGGAGGTCTGGCCTATGTAAAAATGGGGGATCCCAGGGCTGTTCCTCACCCGAAGGGGAGGCTTTGCCCATTCCTGGCTGAGAGGTCCCCAGCCCAGTGCCGAGCAGGCAGAGTGCCCTGCGGGGAGGGTGCCCCCCTCCTGTGGGGAAGCAGGGGCTGGCACCAGGCTCTTGTGGAGCACAGGGACTGCAGAGGGTGGCACCTGCCCTCCTGCCTGGCCCTGAGGTTGGCTCCGGGGCCTTTGTGCCTGACCTGGGAGGGAACCCATGGGCAGACACCCCACTGCAGGCTTTGCTGGAGGGGAGGGGAAGCCTTGAGGAATGGGGTGAGTGGGGCCCAAGAGTGGAGCTGTGCTGCTGCTGGAGTTGGTGTCTGCTCCCGGGGCTCACCAGCAGCTTCTCTTGTCCCAGCTGCTGCTGGACTTCACCAGATGCGAGAGAGAGGCTGTGAGGGAGAGGGCCATGGCAAGGATCGATGTGCTGACCTGTGTGCTGTCCGACTATTCCACTCTGCAGGTAAGGACCAGGCCATGCCCCCATCCCTGCTGCTCTCTATGCCAGGGCTGCTGCCCACATGGCTGCTCTGTGAGAGGGGGACTGAGGGCTCTGCTAAGCCTGGACTCACCAGGAATGGAGCCCTGGGCATGCTCTTGGGTGGGGGGCTTTGGCACCAGCTTCATGCCCTCAGGCCTTGTGCTCATGTCTCCCCCATCCAGGCCCATGCCAATGTCACAGGAGGCATTTCTGAACCTGTCTGCTCTGGGGAGATCCATCTCCCGCTCCTCGGAAAGCTGCTGGGACGTCTCATCCTTTTCCGGTTCTCTGAGGAACAGACAAGCTGTGCAGCTTTCCACGCTCTTTTTGCACTGGCTGACTTCATCTGTAAGTAAAAAGGCAGAGCAGTGGTGATCTTCATCGCTCTGCACACAGACATCTGCTGATAGATCTGCTTCCTGACCTCCTTTGCCCCCTCCAGCTGCTCCCCAGAGTTTCCCAGCTGCCCCTTTGCTGCAGAAGCTGAGCGCTCTGCTCAAGGCCAGGATCTGTTTGCTGCTGCTCTCCTTCCTCCCCTTCCTTGCAGCATCTTGCAGCCCGCTGCTTTTTGGGCCCCACAGCCAGAGCTGCTCTTGACTCCCCTGTTCTAAAGCCACGTCTTCCCTGGTGGGCAAGAGCAGATCCCCCACCCTGGCTGGTCCCTCCAGCACCTGTAGCAAGAAGCTGTTCCCGATACCCGCCCAAAATCCTGACTGCTCCTGTCCTGCCACCCTGCCAGCAAATGCCAGGGCGGTTTGGTGAGCTTGCTGGCAAAGGTGCTCTTCGTTACTGACTGTGATGTGTTTGGCCTGTTCTTTAGTCGAATCCAGGGCAAAGGACAGAGCAGGCCAAGAGCAGCAGGAAGCTGTGACCACCTCCGCGCTCTGTTCTCTGAGCGCCAAGGACTGTGCCAAGGTGAGGAGCTGTGCCCTTGCTGGGACTCGTGTCTGGCCAGGGCAGCTCGAGCTGCTCAGCCAAGCAGCAGCATCAGGACACTCAGAGCTACATGTCTTCCTTCCCTGCTGCCATAGGCCTTTGGAAAATACCTCCGGTCCCACGAGAGGACAGATGTCATCCTTGTGGCCATCGAGGCGATGAGAGATGCCAGCATCCTTGACAAGCAGGTGCCCAGCAGCCTGCTGGATGTGGCCTTGGAAGACCCGGATGTCTGGCTGACGGACGTAAGTGTCCTGTGGCTGCGTTGTTGTGCCCTTCAGTGACTTGGGCCCCCCAAGCCACCTTAAGGCAGCAGAGAGGAGTGGGAAGGGCAATTGAGGACATGGCTGTGCCTCAGGGGCAGTGCCATCCTCACCTGTATCCCCTCCAGGCACCCAAGATAGTGAGCTGCATCCTTGAGAGCCTGGAATACTTCAGCACAGAGTGTGCTTGGGAGAAAGCGGAGTCCCTACTCCGCCTGATGACCAACCTGTACCCCACCACATTGGTCATCCTCCTCTGTAAGGCGGCTCTTCAAGGAGACAGGTACTGGCCCTGAAGGCCTTGAGGGTGGGCTTGTTCCCTGGGGGGAGAGGGACCCTGAGACTCTCTGGCTGCCAGAGCCAAGGAATGCTGCGGGACAGCCTGCAGAGTCAGGCCCTCCATCCCTCCCACGCTTTCCAGCCCTGCTGGGTGTTCTGGCTTCACAGCAGCCAAAGCTGGCCCAGCCAGCCCAGAGCCAGCCCGGTGCTCCAGCCCCACAGGGAACACGCCCTCAGGCCTGTCTTGCTCTGCCTTGCAGCACTCAGCCGCAGCTGTGGGAGCTGATGTCCTCCATGCCGGAGATGCTGGAGAAGATCTTGGAGGAGTTTGCCATCCTGCTGCGCAGACACTGCTTCTGCTGCTCCACAAAAGGCCCCAGCACCCACCCCATGGCTGTGAGTGACCACAAAAGGCCCTGGTCCCCTCCCGGCAGCCCTGCAGGCTCTGCCGGCCCCTCACAGCTCTGTTTGTCCTGCAGTCGTCCTCCAGGAAGGCTGAGGTGGAGGAGTTGGCTGATAAGCCCGATGTCGAGAGCCATCCGGGCTGTCCCAACGTGGTGACAGCCAGGCTGCTGCTGGAAGGCCTTGTCGGGCTGTCACAGAGAGCTGAGATGGTGAGCAGGGCGGTGTCAGGGGCAGATGCATCAGCAAACGGGGGCTGGGGCTGTGTGGAAAGCAGTGGCCTGGCCTGGCCTGGCCTGGGACTCAGAAGGTGGCGTGACTGCTGCAAACACCATCCCTGCCATGGTGGGGCCTGGAGAGCTTTTCAGGCACAGTCCTGTTAACCCAATGGACGTTCTCTTGTCTCTACAGGCAAGAAATATTGAACTCTTCCTGCCGGGCATGATGAAGATCCTGCAAGCTGGCAGCGAAGAGGCCAAGATGAAGATCCTGCTGGCCTTGCGGAACGTTCTGCGTCAGCTGAAGAAGAGCAAGGCCAGCTTCATCGCTGTGCAGCTTGTGGGGAGGCTCCTGCCCCTCTTTGACTCGGTAAGGCTGACGTGGAGCCTGAGCCCCTCAGATGGGCACTGGGCAGTGACAGCTGCCCTGCAGCCCAGCCCTGCCAGCAGCACTTGGAGCCAGCTCCACTCCCCTGGGCTCTCGTGGGATGGCTTCTGGGCCGTGCAGCCCAGTGCTGCTGCTTCTGGGCTGGGAACCTGCAGCCTCTGCCCTCCCCACAGCCATGATCAGGGCCCTCTTCACTGTGGGCAGGGAGCTGCTGTTTGCAAAGCTCACTTTTCCTGCTTCCTGCCAGGAGTGCAGTGAGCTGCGAGAGCAGTCCATCTGCATGCTCACATTGCTGCTGAAGTCAGTGGTTGGCAGGGATGAGAAGAGGATGAGGAAGGAGGTGTGGCGGGCACTGGTGCCACTCCTCTTCCGTGTGAGCGACCAGGTCCCCAGCGTGGCCAAGGTACAGGTTTGCAGCCTGAGCCCTGACAGGGAGAGAGTTGGGCTGACACCCCCAGGGCTCCTGGGCATCAGGGCAGGGGCTGCGGGCAGTGGGCAGCGCTGCCCCAGCACAGCCCGTGGGAAGGTGCACGCGGAGCCAGCACCAGCAGGGCCGGAGAAGCTGGCACGGGCCTGTGCAACACCTGCCCTGCCTGCTCCTGCGGGGCTTGGCACAGCCTGTGGCCACCACGGCCTCAAGAGGGGCATCCGCACAGGCTGTGCCAAAGGGCAGGGCTTTGAGCCTCTGTGCCTGTCCCTCAGGGCTGTCCCCAAAAGGCTCCCAGACATTTGGGCTAGGGCATGTCCCAGCTTCCTAAAGGCAGCATCCCGCTGGGAACAAAGCTAAGAGGTCTCCTTGCCCAGGCCCCCGGGCCATGTCTGAGCTCATGCTGTCCTGCAGGCCTCCAGGGAAGCCCTTCTTGCTGCCGCAGAGCTGCTGAGGTGGAAGACGCTCAAGCACCTGCTGCAGAGAGAGCGGCTGTGGGAGCTTGGAGCATGTTTGGTAAGGACAAGCTGTGGGGCCCAGGCTGGGGGAGGGCTGCCCCCCATGCCACGTCTGGGCTGGGGGCTCTGCAGCTGGGCAGAGCCTGGAGCTGCATCCTTGTTGCTGCCCTCAAGAACAGAGCCCCGAGGGCTCTTCTGCAGGCCCCTGTCCCCTCCCTGCACCCAGCAGGAGAGGTGGGCTGTCTGTCCCAGGGGGTGCTGGCTGGAGGTGCTGCTCCAGCCAAATGCGTGACAGCCCTTGAGAGACGTGCCTTGTTGTCTGTGCAGCTGCAGAAGAGCAGGAGCAGGGCTGAAGATTTCATCCATCAGAGCCTGCCATACCTGCAGGACCCTCAGGCCAACGTGCGCCTGGCGGCCGTCAGGTTCATCGGTGAGTGCCGGCCCCTGCGGTCCCTCTTGGGGCAGCCTGGCCCCTGTGCCACTGCTGCCCCAGCAAGGAGGGGCAGCCCTGAGGCTGCCCCAGCCCTGGCCAGCCCGGGCAGGGCCTTGCCTCCCTCTGCCAGCCCTGCCCACGCAGGAGGGCTTGGTGGCCACCTTGCTCAGTCCCACTGCCCTGAGCTTCGGGTGGCCCCTGGGCTCAGCTGTGCTGAGGGGCAGGAGGGCAGGACTGGGGGCCCTGCTGCTGGGAGCAGGCTGGGGAGCAGGGGCTAATGGAGCTCTGTGCCCAGGACTCATCACCCGGCGCCTGAGGGACCAGACCACGGAGAGTCAGGCTGATATCCTGAGTGGTGAGTGAGGCGTGTGGTCTGTTGGGAATCCAGAGGGTCTCTGCAGACATGGGGTTTTATCTGGGCTCTGCTTCTTTTGGTCATAGCGCTTCAGCCCTTGGAGGAAGACTGGGACATCTCTGTCAGCTCCCTGGCAGCTCAGACAAGGTTGATTCTGAACAGTCCTTGTCTGCAGCAAAGACCAAGAAGCCTTCTGGAAGTGCTGCGCTGCTGCCTGCCGTGAGCCCAGCAGAGGTGCAGCGTGCCTTGGCCTAAGGACTGGGGGTGAATAAAGCTGGAACAAGATGCCCAAAGCCCTGGTGTCCTTCAGCTGCGTGGTGCTGAGTGTGCTGAGCCGACCGTGTCCTTCCTGAGCTGTCCTGCAGGCAGTGGGACACTATCTCCGTGGCACAGACTGATGGAATCGTGAAGGAATTCTCAGCCCTGTGTGGGGTGCAGAGGATCCCAGAGCTCCATGAGAATTGCTGGGGCTCTGGAGCTTGAAGGTGGAAATGAGTGAAGAGCTTTGTTTTACACTTGTCACATATAAAACCCCAGCAGGGTAGTTTCTGGTGGGGGTCCTGGGATGCACTGAAGGCCTCGAGTGGCTTTGTGTGGGATGATGAGGAAGATGCGCAGAGGGCTGTGCAGCAGAGGCTCCCTGGGGAGCCCAGGTGAGGGGCAACACTGCGGGGAAGCTGCTGAGCCCTGCTCGTCGGTGTCAGGGGACCCCTTGGCTCCCTGCTAGCCTGCTCAGGGGCCCCTGGCAGGTCCTTAGCCCCGAGACCCTGCTCTGTCCCCCGTGTCCCTCTCCTGCAGAGCAGGATGGCCATCCAGTGGCTGACGCTGGGACTGGCACGGAACTTCTTATCCCAGACTGCTGCAGGAGAGCATGCAGAATCCCAGTCCTGCCCTGCAGGGAGAGACAGAAGCGTCAGGCCAGCAAAGGGCTGTTTTTTATTGATGCCGAGAAAAAAAAGGCGATAGTAAAACCCAATAGCCACAGGTGCTGTTAAGCCGATACGTGTTCGTTCCGGGAGACAGCTCCGCCTAACACGCGCGCCGCTCCCACCTCACAGTTCCCTTTTATTTGGTTAGCTCGTAAATATGAACTGTACATGTTTTACACATTCATGACCACCCGGCAGGGCGGTGTTCTCTGTCACTCTCGGACAGGCACTGTGGTGGCCGCAGGGGATGAAGGCTCAACGTCTTCCTCTCTCGGAGCATGCGCAGTCCCTCAGCACAGTCCCGGGGGGGGGGGCAGCTCCTCATTGGCTGCCTGTCTGTTGGCGTCACCACGGAGCCTTCCTATTGGCTGCTCCCCGGCCGCTCGGCTGTTGCTTAGCAACAGCACACGGGCCTTAAAATTGGGCTTATTAAACTGCGCCGATTACGTGGCTGCTTAACATTTTTCCTGATCAATAGCAACTTAACGTTTTCCCTGATCGCTGTCCCAATCACTGGGTCGAATCCAAATCAGTGACTGAGGGCTGATCTGTTTTTCCTCTGCTGTGCTTGCTCGGGAAAGCTGCTCTGTAAAGCAAAGGGATCCTTGCCCCGAGCAGCTATTGCCTGCTCTGGAGATCAGTTTAGTTGGAGTTGAGGCGACTTCCCTCAGCTCAAATAATTGATTAATATCTGTATACATAATTATTGTTTTAAATTAAATCTTTGCTTCATCTGTAAATGGTCTTAACATCTCATCCAGCCCTACTTCAAAGACTTCCTACAGTAGGAACTGCAGGAAGAAGTCAGTGCTTGGATAGGTGTAAATGAAAGCACAAGAGAGTGAGAGTGATGTTCTGCCCTTGTCTGGGAGTGGGAGGTGGAAAAAGGTCATGGAAGGCTGAGGAAGAGGCAAGGACGTTTCTACCTGGGAATAAACTTTTGAGTAGCTGGTTTGGATCTGGCAGGTGGACGTGGCTTCTGTGTGTGTTTCCCAGTAAAGAGTGTATTTGAAATATTTAAGACTGAACATGTCAAGCCATCATCTGGATGTTGGAGAACCAGCCTGGCACAATCCCTTGAGTCTTCCAGGAAGATGATCTGAATTTCTCTGACAATACCAGTGCTGCTAGGATAAATGGCTTGTGGCTTGGGAGTTGCTGCCTGCTTTCAGGAAGGAGCTGGATGTGGTTGGGCTGGAGCAGACCTGATGCCTTGGGGTAGGGAAAAAATGGGCTGGGAGGGTTTGAAAGTGAGTTTTTAATGATGGCTGAAGTCCAAAGCCACAGCTTTCCACCTGCTCTGTTTGGACCTGGTACATGAGCGTATTTCTGATTCTTAGGCTCTGGGCTGTCTCTGCAAAGACTAGAAGTGCTCCCATCTGGAGGGGCTTTGTCAGCAGCTCTGGTGGCTCAGAGGGGAGAGGGGTTATTCTCCCCTTACAGCAGTCCTTCAGCTAATTTCCTTCCCAGCTTTGGAAGTGTTGTTGTTTCTGTTTAGATTAAAAGAATACCTCCATCATGACACAATATTGTGAAGGGCACTTACTGCCTGGCTTTCCTTTCTCCAAAACAATTAATTTACAGGCTTTTCTGTGAATGTCACACATTGTACACACACCCTTAGGCTCTTGAGAGAAGTTATTGTTAGCTTTTATAAATTGTATTATCTTACTCTGCAGGAAGCAGAGTCAACTATTTTATTTTGTTCTAGCTAAAAATAAAAAAAATAATATGCAAGGAAACAAACACAGCTGCATGTGATCCCAGTTTTTCTCTGCTAGATGGTGTTACCCGCCCTGCCTTTCCTTTTCCTGCCTTCACCTGATGTTATCAATCATCAGGGCAAATTTGAGTTGGGTCTCACAGCTGGTGAGTACCTTAGCCCTATGGTCTGGCTGGGGCTGTGGGTACCCAAATGCTGCAGACAGCCACAGGCATCTGCAGGGTCTGCTGGACCCTCTGAAGGGGTGTCAGCTCCACGTCAGTGATCGTGACACATTGTGGGGCTAGTTTGGTCTTGGAAAAAGCAAATTTCTGCTCAAGGTGAGAAACACAAGGTGAGAAACATGGGCTGGGATACTTGAGCTCTGAAGACCTTGTAAGACTGCAGGTGGTTCTAGCTGACACAAATTTTGCAATATGTGGATTTGCCAGCCCCTGGGGATACATGTCCTGACCCTTTGCCAAAGGGTGTGTGACTAAGTGACCTGTGGGCTCACACCTGGCCAGGACCCCTCCAGGGCTCTGGCACGTGTAGGGTGTTGAGCTCCTGAAATATTCCTGCTTTGCGATATTTGCTGCCTGAAGTTTGGGGCAGAGATGCCCAGACTGGGGATTGCTTTTAGGTGACAACTCTTCCCATTTAAAAAGCTTGTGCCAGCAAGGTTGTTAATGAGCTTTTCTTTGAGAGCAGGAGCTTGTGCTTGGTCATGAACATCATAAATTTTAAAATGATAAACAATACACTTGAAGTATAAAGTTTTGAGGTATGTATGGTTTCTGCACTGGGATGGGTAATTCTGGATTATTTTGGACTCTGAGAATAACATCTGCTGTGGAGCTCTTGTCTGCCCAGGAACCAGCATAATAGAAGAAGGAAATGGAAGTGTAGGTAGTTGTTTGTGTGAAATGGCTGGAGATGGAGGAGACAGGGTGAATACCCTAACCATGTATGAGAGAGATCTGAAACCCAGCTCTGCTTTGAGCAGCAGTGGCTTCTCCTTCAGCTGTTCTGTGTGCTTCATCTCACACGGTCAATCTCTTCCCTTCATTCTTCTTCGTATCAACAGGCTCAAATTCTGGCAGACCACTGAGAGCAGCTCCAGCTCTGGACCTTTCACCCGAGTTTCTCTTCCTGGACCTGAAGCAGGGGTAGGGTCAAAGCTCAAGGCCTTTTATGGGAAATTAGCACAGTTCCCTGAAATAATAGAACAGAGGCAAACAGGAGATTCAGGAAGTTTCATTCTTCCATGTAATTTTGGAGATCTTATCACTTTCCCACTTGTTTTCATGCCAAGATGCTTGATTTTTTATTAGTTTATTTTTATTAGTTTAAAATTAACTGAATCAACAAACTGTGTGGATGCTGAGATTATGTTATCTAGTTATCTGTTTTATTAAGGGAAATCAGAGGCAGGATAAGTCAGTCTGGTGTCCAGATATCCCAGCTCAGGTGAAACAAAGCACTGTGCTCTTTATTTCACTGCTAGAACCACAACTTCATCTGCTTCCTCAGCAGGGGACGAAGGTGGGATGAAGCTGTGTGCCTGAAAACAGGTATTGTTTGAACATTTTGTATAGTTTGTGTTTTTTTGGGGCTGCCTTTTTTGCTTTATTTGTTTGGTTTGTTTTTTTTCCTTCCCCAGCCTTACAACAACAATGGAAGTCTTTTAGCAAAAGGAAACTATGTTGATTTGTTGCAATGCCCTACAGGCATATATTATGTTTTATGACTGTGGCAGCTCTGGACTTGGCTGGACCCTAAGTTGTGTTTTCCATCCCAGAGGCTTTAATGCTTTGCAGCTGGAGGGGCTGCAGTTTGTGGTGCTCACCTCTAGATTTGTTCTCATTGACCATAAAGGGACAATTTCTTGATCACCTGAAGGCAGTGCTTGGTGCCACCATACATTCCTCCAGGTCTCCAAGAGGTTGGTTACCTTTGCAAGGGGCAGTAGGTGACAGACTGGTGGGAAAAACTGGTATTACTCCTGTATGGAATATGGGAGTATTTAGCTTAGAGAAGGATGACAGTGTCTTGTTCTGAGTTTCCTGGATCTTTCCTATCTTGGAGCTTCTGTGGAAAAGCAGACCTTGTCTGGGTAATGTCTACCCATCAGAGTTGTGCAAGTGGAAGGGATGGTGTAAAAAAACCCTGAAGAGAGCTGAGCATGGTCTGAGATAAAAAGTCATACCTTTTCTGGGAATTAATCTGAAGGAAATGTGGGGATTTGGGGTCCTGATGTAGCTCCTGATTGGAGTTTGTTGCCAGTGTTTTGCTGCAGTTTTGTGTTATAAGTTTCAATTACTTGGATTTGAACCAGCTTTGTGTTGGACTAAATGTACTTTGCATGTGAACTGGATTGCCCAGTGTGTTTAATTGTGACTGTAATTATTTGTATGTGTGCTTTTGTGTGGAAAAGCGAAATACAATGCCTCTTGGTTAACCTCATTGCATTCCATGCACAGTCCCTTTGAAACAACCTCAGGGCTGTTTGGGTTCAGTGTGTGCTGCCTCACCCGTTTCATCCATTCTCCCCCATGCTCTTCTGAGCAGAAAAAGGAACCAAGTTAAGACTCACAGCCCACTCATTCCTGTGTTCACTTCAGGGACAAAGAACACCTTGATCTGAGACTTGGAGAGACCAAACCAGCTCTGCTGGTTGGGCTGAATCCCAACATCCCATCTCTAAGGTTGATCAGCACCTGCAAGTGCCTTGGTAGCCAGAAAAAAATGACTGTACTGCGATGGGCAAGTCTTAATCCCTGGTCAGAGTTGGTGAACCCAGAAGTCATGTCTTGTTCATAGGAAAGTCTGGTGTATTAGCCACCTCCTGAGTTTTGCCATGCACTTTTCACTGTTAATTTCTTTTCCCTCTGCACTGTGTATGTTCTTTCCTGATTTTGCATGGGGCAGTAGCATGTGAACGGTCTGTTCCAGCCTCAGGAGATCTTGCAAGCTGCTCTGAGATACCAAGGAATACTCCAGGTAGGTCATTGTCTTTTAAATATGCAGTTGTGCTCTTCCCTTTAGAGCAGTAACACATCTATTTGTGTCTGCCTAAGTAGTCTGTCTTTGCAGTCCCATCAGTTTAGTTTTGAGACAGAAATGTCCAAACCCATGGAACCTGCATTCTGTAGGTGGAGACATAAACGTGAACAAGTCGCTTGGCTTCTAGAAAGAAGGTGGCTGAGTAGGCAGTGGAGTATTTGTCAGGCATGCAGACCTAAAAGCAGGTTGTAGCACTTAGTAACTATCTTGGTGGCAGCTTTCTCGGGCTCTCCTCTGGAGCCCAGAGGTGTCTGTGCTTTAACAGAAGGTAAACTGGAAATATGAGAGGGGCAGGCTGCTCCAGATCACATGGGAGCTGCGAGGTGCCCTTTGGTGGTCTTGGCTTTTAGGCTTCCAGGCTTCTCATATATTTGCTTCTCACATGCTTATATTTTTGAGTGTACGAATTTTCCAGGCTACCAAACCACGACTGTTCAATACATGTTCCCAAGGGAAACTATGGTTGCCTTTTTCCACCCTGTGTACTGGTCGAAGGGAACAAAACCAAAAACATGTGGCCAGGGCTGTTGTTATCAAGCCTGGAGTACAGCAGAGCTGTTGCTGCAGTTCATCTTCAGAGACATGTTCTCTGTCTGATAAAAGACAGATGGGGAAAAGTTGACAGCTTACAGTTGCTTTTGCTCTGTGTGAGCATTTTCTCTTGCAAAAGGAAAATCCCATCCTTCTGCTGCAGGCAGTTTGGCCTCTGACAGGGCAAGGATGTGCAAACAGTAAATTTAGCTGGCAGAAGGTGAATTAATCCTTGTTGTGCTGGGACTGGAAGGATTGCACCCCGGTTTTCTCACACCTGTGAAACTTTAGGTGAGATCCAGTCCCCTAAGGATACCAGGTGATGGGGTTCTAAGAACAAATGAACCTGAAGTTGAGGTGTTAGTCATTAGGAGCTGCCTCCTTCTGTGCCCCATCCTGTCTCACACTGTATAAGCCTCTGTTTTGGAGAACTGAAATAATTTGCTCATTGTCTCTTTCTCCCACAAACTGCTTGTGTAACAAGCTGGAAGTGCTTTCAGTTTTGGTTCCAAATGTGTGAGCCCGACTTTCCCAGACAATGAAAAATGACCTCTACGCTGCTATTGTGTGCAGCAACACACTTGGCTTTAAATCATTCCTGTGTTAGTTATCTGGGATTCAGCTTTATTGTGGCTGCTTGGATCACGTCCAGTCAGGAGACAATGGTAAAGCAAAGACAACCACACATGCACTTAATTAAACCTTGTCTATGCAGTTCAGAATACAAAAAATAGGGGAAGGAGAGTGGGGCTGGTTGCAGATGTTCCTCAGCAGTGACTCTTCCACAGGATTGAGCTGTTGGCTATCACAGGCTACAAGAGGAAGCAGAGAGATTTAAGTTTTCTTCTTGGGAGAGCGAGCAGATTCATGGAAGTCACAGGGTGAGCAGGAACAAGGCTGGGCATGGAGAGAGTCACAGAATTGGGTGGGCAGAGGTGCAGCCTGCAGGTTGGTGAGGGGTGAGTTGGGAAGGCTAAGACACAGCTTCTGCAGCAAACCCACTGCTGGTGGGGGCAGGAGGGAAGAGCTCCTGTCCCCGCACTCGGATGATGTGGCAACAACCCAGCCTGTAAATGTCCCCTGCGGCCCTGAACTCGAAAGCAAACTTACAGGTTAGCTGAGTGCTCCTGTTGCAACACAAAGCAAACACTGAGAAGAAAAATAGTCTGAGTGAGGGGAGAGGAAGAGAAGATTCAGTGGGTTTTACTAGAGCTCCTTGGCCCAGGGAGTCAGAGCTGCTGTGGGTTGGGCTGTAACCCCCAGTGGTGCTGGTGCCTGGTACTCGTTATCAGCAGTCTCATGTGATCTGCTGCCTGTCACGGTGTCGGTTCGGCCCCAGCCTTGGACTGTGGACTGTGATTTCCATCTCTAGGGCAAAGGGCAGGGTCTGATACCCGTGAGCTTGGCTGGTGTGCTGATGGGTAGGCTGTCTGTCTGTCTGTGAGTCCATCTGAATGCACTGCCAAGGCTGTTTGGGGCTCCAGCACTCCCTGTGGGCTTGCTGGCTGTGGGGCAAATCTGCAAGCAGGTGTAGCTTATCCCAAAGGGCATTAAGCCCCCCCTAAATATACCTGTGTTTTAGGACAAGATGGCCAGGGAAATATCAAATTTCTTTGAGGTGTTTTAGAAGAAAGCTGTGTGTCTCCATTGACAGGCTGCTTGGAGGATCTAGTTTTAAAAATCTACAGATGATTAACTAATGCAAGACATGGTGTATGATTTTTGTTGTTACAATGAAGTCAGAGGGCTGTCAGTCAAAGTATTTATTACAAAACCAGTTTTTCAGCTGAGGAGGTGTTTTACAGACCACTGTATATCTCAATATACCACTGGGGTTTTTAAGATGTTAAACGTTAAACCAAGGCTTTCTGAGGGGGAGGACAACTAATCCAATAACACTTAAAATGTATAAATTTATGTCACCAGTAAGGTATGTATGTGAGGATTATATACCAAGATGTTACCTTAAAGGAGACCTTAGACAAGGGGTAGACATTTGTCTGTCAGTCAGAAACCCTGGGTACCATTTCTGCCATGCAATGGGGATCCCTGGCCAGAGGGAGCTGGAGGAGGAGGCCATAGGCTTGGCCTGTCAATGGGACACAGCTGGCTGCCCTAAAATACTTGTAATTTTCCAGCACCCACTTGCAGAAGGCGCAATTTCCTCTCACTGCCTTTGGGTCATGCTCTGCTGATTTTTGACCTGAAGGGAGTGGGGATGGGGTAGAAGCTAGAAAAGCCTGAGCCAAAGCACCCTGTTAGAGAAAAGGTGGCAGCCTGGACTAAAGCTCAGGGTAGGCAGGGGGGAAGTAGATGTAGGAATGTCTTAACACATAATATGTTTTTAATGCCCTGAGCCTCAAAGCTGAGTGTGATGGTAGCCAAATGTCCTGGCACTGGAGCATTTCTCTAATACAGAAGCTGCAGCCCTGACCTGAGACCCCAAATTACTCCTGTGGTGATATGGAAACCTGAGGGAACTGCATCTGGTGAATCTTGAAGATCTGTGCCTGAGAAAAGCTTAACCTTTCCTTGCGTGAGCAGCTGCCTGGTGCTCTGTGGATGTTTAACCAGTGAACTGCTTGGCAATAAAGGTCGCTGTTGTCACTGCGTTCATTGTCATAAAAACTTATGGTTCTCCTTTTTATATAATGGCCATAAATTGCTTCATGCACTATTTTATTGACATAGCAGATTAGCCGGGGAGTCCCTCACGAAGACAAAAGCAGTGATATTGCAGGTAAGTGAGATTTGGAAACCAAAACCTGTGTAATTCGTGTGCTTTGTCTTATGATCTGAGACAGCTGATGTTTCAGGAAAAAAAGGATTTCCTTATGTCCTGTTTAGCAGTGGAGAAACAAAGGTTTGTTAAGGTGTTTTTTCCAGGAAGTAATCAAAGAAAATGTGGATCACGTCCTGCATTTAAATTGCAGTTTCTATTTTATGATACTTGTTTGCTATTGTTAAAGGAAAAAGTGTAGCAGCTAGTTTTGGTATTAAGCAAGAATAGTTCTAAGAAGTTGTTTTAGTTTCCTTTCACAGATGGCTTTGGATCTTGGTTTCATTTGTGCCTGACTGGTGAATTACTTGGCAAGAAAGATCATTTTATGACACTACAATGGTTACCATAAGGTGTTATGCTTATAATTTTTATCTTTCAGCCATAAATTCCTTCATGGTCTATTTTCTTGATGTTCCAGATTAGGAAGGGAATCCCTCACAAATGTGAAAGTGGAGGTGTTGTAGATAAGTGAGGGTTTGAAGGCAAAACCAGTGACAAAACATACCGAGACCAAAGGTATAATGGGACAATGACTGTTAATGCTGAGACTTGGGCTAGATCCCTGGGCTACCTTGTTGCTTTCAATTTCCTGGAACTTGAAATAAGACATATAAAAAAAAAGGTAACAGTTGCTTGAAGCAGAAAGGAATAGAAGCCCAAACCACTTCTCGTAGTCATGCACATAGCTCAGAAAAACTCTAGGTTCTTCTGTGCTCACAGCATTTGATTTTCATCTCATGTCTTCTTGCTCATTTCTCCCTCGAGTTTCTGGGTAAGTAGAAGTAGTTTCTGGGTAAGGAGAAGGGGAAAATCCTTGCTGAAGGCATAAATAGCTCATATTTTTTTCCATTTTAACACATTCTTAATTCACCATCAGAAGATGTGGTGCAAGCTCTATCTGTACAAAGTAAAATAGACTTCTCAGAGGAGTTTTTAGGTACTGAAGTTCTTTGCCTGTTCCTGGAAATTCTAGAACTGGAGTACAGCTGCTGGTTAGCTGGGCTGAATTTGAGTGAAGAGTTTAGTCCTGTTAGCAATTCCTCAACACAAGCAATCCTCTGGAGGTCCAAAAAACCCTACTGTACATTTTTGCAGCTACATTCCTTAGCTACAGCTTGTTTTCTTATGGTAATTTGCACTGGATGTTAAAACATCAAGTTTAATGTCCTGGGCCTGGAACAGGAAAGCGTAGTGATAGCCAAATGTCCCCACACTGGAGCATTTTTCTAAAACAGAAGCTGCTGCCTTGAACTGGGACTGTAGGAGCAAACCAGACCACCCAAATTCAGTGGAGGGGCACTGTGATTAACTTGAAACTGATCACTTCTGTCTGATATCTGCCAAGTAAACCCCTGAAATTGTGTCTGCCTAGGCTCAGCCTCCACCTCTTCTGTGACAAGGGACCAGGTGCTGCAGTGTTTAGGACAGACCAAGCATGTTAATCCTTCCAGCAGCACTGGTTTCTTCTTGGAGCACAGTCTGCAAACATTCAGACCTTTCAGTCTGTGGATCATGTGATGAAAATAGGGACAAAATGTAATGAGGAAGCATCTTGGTGAAAGGGTGGACTGTGTACTTGGAGGAAACATTGCTATTTTCAAATCCACATAAAGTTTATGGCAGCCCAAGCTGGGGAGTGCTGCTTGTGACTGGCTGTGGGACACCTTGCCCAGGGGGACTGTGAACTGCAGGGCAATGCTGAGGGAGGAGAAAAGCTTGTTATGTGTGTCAAAGGCAATGGTAAACGCTATAAACTTGTACTGCTTTGCTGATAGTTGAAATCAACTTGGATAGCTTGACTTGCCTCCTTGCCGCCCTAAAAAACCCCGCCCAAAACAGAGATAAGAAAGCAGCAAGATTTTACCTTCATCTGTCCCCTGTGCTTACGGGCAATGAACTTTTTTCTCCCTGTCCTGTGGTGCCAGAGCAAGCTGAATTTACCATATTTTCATATTTATCATATCATGCTCATCAGGGGTTCCTTGGTTTGCCTCTGCCCTCCCTCCTGTCCCAGTGGCTTGTGATGGACACAACTTCAGTCAAACAGCAGAAGTGCTGCTGCTGCCCTGGTGTGTGTTCTAGCAGGGTATCCCTCAGCACTGCTCCCTGCCAGGGCACAAACCAAGCTCAGCACCTCAGATTCTCCTGCGCTGGGACCCCCTGCAGTGCCAAAGCAGTGCCAGACTCGGGAGCAGGTCTCAAATCCAGTCTTTTACATTGCTGTTGCAATGCCCAGAGGGACAGAGTTTCTGCCCAGGTACCCACCAGCAGGTTCCTGGAAGGTTTTTTGTGAGGTGTGATTTTTTTTTTTCCCATGCTTTCCACCTGCAGAGTCCCAACGCAGCAGCGTGGCCCTGCCTTGTTGCATCGCTCCGTGATGCTGCTGGCCTCAGTCCAGCAGGGAAAATGAAAGTGAAAATCCATTATGAACTCTAGTTGCATTATAAATAAGGAGGAGCCAGTGTGCCTTTTTCTCTGGGATCCAAGTGGCTTCTGCATCTGCTGTGCAGGGCTCTGCAAGAGGAGCTGAATGATCGGGAGTTGGAAAGAACTGCTCGGGCCCTCGGGGGAGGGAATGGAAGAGGCACGAAAGCATCCTCAGGCAACACAGCTTTTGAGGTACTCACACTGTCTTCTTCTTTAAGGGGTCCTGTCTTACAGTCAGTCTATTCTCTTACAAATTCCTGCTTCCTGGTTTTTAAGCAGGCATTTGGAAATGGGCGCTAAAATGTCTGTGGCAGGAGGGAAGTGTTTAATGTGCTGCACATTTTCTCCTTAAGGAAGAATGTGTGTTGCTGGTGCTCTTGATCTGTCTTACTTAGTAACTCCAGTTCCGTAGCCCTGGCTGGCAACTTCCACGCAGCTCTGCACTGAATTCACGCTGATTGTGTGAGTGCAGAAACCCAACAGCTTCGTCAAGCAACAAAAACCCCAGCCTGGTGGCTCTGGGTGCCAAAGGGAACAAAACAGAACCAAACCACAGAGCATTAGTAAATAAGGACAGAAGTTTTAAAATAAAAGAAGTTAAATCAGTGGAACAGTTCATTCATTCTACTCTTCCTAAGGTGCTGCAAGCATTAAAAAAATTAGTAGTGTTTTCTAATGGTTACTGTGGAATTTTATTTTCAGAGAAAAGCCAAAGTGTGCTTTACTTTCAGGATTTTTGCAGAGATTTCTCAGCTCAGCCACAACATCCTGCTGGTTGCTTTCTCTGCACTGGCTTGTTGGAGCTGTAGAAACAAACTGCACTCCTAGGCTCACTCAGGAAAGAGCTGTTTCATCCCTTCCCATGATTTCATTTTGTTGGGGTTTTTTTTTCCTGTAAAGGCTTGTTGAGAGTGGTATTCAGGAGATCAAAGAGTGAAACTGGTACAGAAAGTGATAGAAAAATCATCTCTTATGTAAATACTTCTCCTTTTCTGTGAAAGAAAATAAAATCTGTAGGACCTTCTGAAGTTCTTTGAGGTTTCTTCTGTTGCAGCCTTACTTCCTTCAGTAGTAGTATTTTCTCCAAACTGATCAAAAGTTAAGCATTCTTTGTGGGATCCTTAGGGTACCAAATAAACCTGTTGCATTGTTTACAGCTGGAGAACAGCACTGGATTTTGTGGCTCCATGATTGTGCCCAATGGTTGGCTGGAGAGGGAAGCACATCCAAACCCTGGGGCAGCCCCCGTGGCTGGGATTGGGGTGATCCCCCACCACAGCTCTGCTCTGGTCACTTTGGGGGTCCCTGCTGAAGCTATGCCAGAGCCAGAGGTCAGAAAGCACAAAAACACACACTGGAAGGGCAGTGAGCTGTTTAACTTATGCTGGAGTAGGAATAAGCACAGGAAGTGTGTGAGAGTTTTTCAGGTCTCTTAACTGTTCAGGTCAGTTAACTTTGAGAGAGGACATTGCCAGGAGTGATGCCATGGCATGAATGAGTGACTTCCTTTCTTGGCAAATATTGGGGTCTCAGGTTAATGGGTCAGGTCTGACCTGGGGAAGAGCTGCTCAGCTGGGTGTGAGTGGCTGCTGTTCACTGAAGGAAGTCCAGACCCTCCTGCTTGTTGCTTTACTCATCTACTGCTTGCAGGTGATCTGCTTTTAGGGTCTGGCTTTACTCTGTTACAGCTCTGCAGACAACTTCAGTAGCTCTGAAAAGGGAAAGTTTGTTTTACTTGGAAAAGAAAGAGAAGCAGGCCGAAAAATGGATGAAAAATATTTTCTATGCAAAGAGCATGTTTCATTTTAGATTTCAGTGTTTTATTGATAAAGTAAGTTTAAAACTGGTGGCAGGAGGTGGCCAAGACAGCTGAAGACTCTCAGAAACCAGCCAAAAAAGAGGATTTTAAGACAGGCTAATAGGAGGGGAGAGAGATTTGGTGGACAGTGTTCTGGCTTTTGGGAGAGTGGGAACTGGGAAGGAGTTTCACCACGAGAGGGGAGAGGGAGGGAGACATCCCTCGAGCAGAACAAGGGGAGGGGCAAAAATACCACTGAAGAGAAGACAAAATGCTTGAGGACAGAAGATGCAGACCTCAGGCTGACAACTACTTGGGAAAAAACCAAACCTTAACCTCTGGGCAAATAATTCTGCCAGATGTGCTGCAGCTGTTCTGCGAGGCGAACATGCCCTGGGGTATAAATACTCTGGAGGGACACAGAAGACACGTAGATGTGTCACTTAGGGACATGATCTAGTGGTGGATTTGGCAGTGCTGGGATAACAGTTGGACTCTGTGATCTTAAGGGTCTTTCCCAAACGGATGATTCTGTGATTTTAAGGTTGGTGACAGTCCCCTGGCACTCTGCTGTCCCTTTAAGGGAGGAGGCTGCAGGCATTGTTACCTGGTGCCTTACACAGCAGGAGACAGGATAAAGTAACGTGTGAGATGGTACCGAATGACCTGCTTTTGGAAAAGAAAAAAAGATAGGATCCATTTTTGGACTTACAGGAAGAGGATGAGAAGAGGTTGTTGTTAATCCTTGGTGGGGCAAAGAGGAAGTCCTTGCAGGACTGTGCAGGTGAGCGGGAGCTCTGTGTGTAAAGTGGAATCACTGGTCCCTCGTGTGGTGTGAAGTGGAAGTGGACGGGTCTCGCCTTGGAAGGTGCGTGTGGAGCAGTGCCAGGACCGTGGCTCGGTCCAGCATTTCCCGGGTTTCCATCCTGTGTGTGGCTGTCAGTAGCCTGAGGCACTGCAGAGGTGTCCCACCTTTTATTCCAGGGGAAATTTTGCAGCTGGTTCCTGTGCCTGTTGGCAGCTGGAATGGGCTTGTCTTGGGGGTTGTGTTTCTCCTGTATCATTTGGTTTTGGAGTGGAACTCTCAGCAGCCTTAAATTAGCACAGACCATGGGAGACAAGCATTTATTAACCTCTGCTGAAGAATTAATGCGTAATTAATCTGGAAATTTCCTCAAGGTACTTCTAGGTGGTGGCAGTAAAAAAGTTGTTTAATGAAAACTTCTAATGAAAAGCTTCCAAGAGCAAAGCACTTTCTGTTTTCCAGAGCCAGGCTGATAGAAGAAGTTTGAATTTCTTTCAATTTTCTTTTTTCTTATTTGGAAAGTGAAACTTGTATTTTATTAAAACATATTTCACAAAGTCATGACAGTTTCATTGAAATTATTTGAACTGATATTTCCTGTCAGACCTCCTAAACTGAAAACAGAGTTCAATTTGACAATAAATATTACATCTTATGTCAAGTGAAACATTCAGCACAACTTATCTTTCTTATCGAATGTTTTGGAAGCGACAGATGTTATTTGTCACATGTACTGCTGAGGGATGTGTGCAGGGCCACTGCTCTGAGCAGCCTGGAGGACCTGGACATGGAGCCTCCTGCCCAGCAGGCTCAGGAGGGATTTCTTTTTCCCTGCAGAAGGACCATGTGTCTTCTACTGCTGTGACTGAGCCAGAGGGGGAAAGGGATGTGAGCTTGGCACTTGCAAAAGCCATTGCAGGAACAGCTGAGCAGCACAAGTGTTCCTTTGCCTTCCATTCCTTCCATTCCAGATGTTTTGGCCAGGAGCAGCCTTACAGCACTTGGCCTGGCAGCTGATTTCTTTTTGTCTGAAGAAAGATAATTGCATTTAATGTCCCAACAGGGAGGAGACTGAGGGAGGAGCCTGGTGAGCCTGACCTGGGACCACAGAGGATCTTGGAGAACATCCAGCACCTTTGGAGCTGACACCCAGGGCAGCCAGATGGGCTCTCCCCACCTCATGGCGTTGGGTTTCCTGCTCCTGGCTGTTGCAGCTCTCCATCCAGGTGAGTCTCCTTGTATGACCTCAGTGCTTTTCCCTGCACATTAGTAGCTTAAAAACTTTTAGCTCTTATTAGAAAGCTCACCTGTGCCCAGTTAAAACTAAGACCACAACACCTCTAGGGTGAGAAAAGAAATTAGGGTGAAAGTGGATTCGTCTGACCTGTCACAGCGCCCTGTTTTGAGAGGGGTGACTCTTTGGGTCTGTCTGATGTCAGATGAGGCAAGTCCTCTCCTGAAGGACTGGCTTTTCCCCAAGAGAGTCTGGCTGAGTAAATCTGGCACACTGCACCCAGTGTGTGTGTAGTTTGGCAGATGTGAACTTTACTGGTCTTGGGGATCTGGCAGTCTGCTGGAGGGACACCTGACAGGATTGTGCCAAGGACTTGGGAGGGAAAGGAAACAAGAACAGATGATTTCTCTGAGCTCAGCAAGAGAAAGGCCTTTCAATTGACTTTTCAAGATGCCAACTTCCTAGTTTAAAACAGTTGCAGCAGTAAGGAAATTATATCCTGTTTCTACCCTCAGACTACCTTGTGGACTGGCCCCAATACTGTGTAAAATCTGACAATTGGCAGACAGTGTCTCCTAAGCCATAACTGGACATGTTCACCAAAACTCATCCCATTCTCTAACACTCAGCATGTGGGGAGTAAACTGGTAGAAAATACTTTTTCTTTGTTTTCTGATTTAGATATTGCCATGGCCAGTGATCCCCCTGCTGAGAGGACACATGACTCTTCCTCTGGCAAAACAACTGTGACAGTCTACTGCTGTAAGGACTGTGAAATCAGCAAATGTAAAACAGGCAGTTTTGAAAGATTTACAAAAATCGCTGAAACAGAAGAGAAGGAGTTTTCAAATGGAATAATTGATTTGGTGACCAGGGAAACACACATCCTTATGTGCTTTCAGCAAGCAAATACTTTTCCTGAAGGAATTTATGGCATCTTCTGGATAAAACCCGGGGGATTAGGACACTCGTGTGCCACCCTGAATTTTACAGGTATGCTCTGCTGGGAACCCGGTTATCAACAGATGGGAAACATATTTCTGGTTATGAGTCTGAACAGTTATACACTTGTGCAGACAGTGATGTTAATTAGTAAACTAACTTGACAAAATCAGTTTCTTCTGGTTAAAAAAAGTCATTAAATCAGAAAAATGAATTCTCTGATGTCAACACTGCTTAAAGCTATAGTCATAGAGATTCAGATAAATGCATGTTACTCTGATTTATATAGGTACTTTTTGTTTGTTTTTGCAACAGCAATTCTCATGGTCAAATTCTGTGTCAGTTTGCAACGTATGAATCCCACCTGCTTCAGTCAGAACTAAACTGAGAACCGGGTCTAGCCTAAAGAGCTGTTCTGTGCTGCTCTTCTGTAGGATTCAATAAATACCCAGGAGCATCTTTCCACCTTTCTCACAAAATATCTGCCAAAATCAGAGATTAAAACACCTGTCAGTACATGTAGCAAATGGCTCCAAGAGGGCAAAACTTCACAGTGGATCAGAAACTGATTACTTAAATCGATTTTAATTGTATAAAGGTAATGCTAAGCTTTTTACAAATGCTTTGGTATTCTTAGTTAAATATGAGAACATTTTACCTTCTTGGAACATGAGTATTTCCATTATTGGTTCACAGAACAGTTCATCAGCTTTAGTGAGGAGGAAATCTAAATGTGGGTAGTTGATTTAAACAGCTGGGGAATGAAACATCTCCAACTTGTAGCAGTCATGGCAATCTCCATCTCTTTTGTGCTACATGATCCACTTGCTTAACCTATGAACCTCTTCAACCTTTCTAACCCTTGATTGAAGACCTTGATTCATATTTATAATTAAACCTTCTTTTATCTTTCAGCTTTTTCAGAAAATGAGAGAGGTAGCAACAGTATTGAGGAGAATAAAATTTGCTGTGAAGCCGAAACAAATGTCTGGAAGTCCAACCCTACACTGAATTGCTACACTAAAGTGTCAGGTGCAGAACACCAAAAATCAACAGCTGACAACCCTGGCAAAGAAATTCCAGGTTAATATCTCTACATGTTTGTTTTCCCTTTACTTTGAGAGTGTTTTGCCCAGAGAGCTTGATGTGAACAGTGTTTTACATGGAGCAGTAGATACAGGGATGCAGAGGGAAGGTGGTACATGATGGGTGTGCAACAAGTTCCCAAGAATTTCCCTTATTAGTAAGTGATAAATGAGACTTTGCTTCCAGGCTAAGTCACATAAAGTTATGTTTGTATTCAGATTTCTTTCATGGTGGAAATCCCTGTTGTCTTCCTTAGGTCATGGACAAAGAGGTCTTTAGAAACCAGTCAAAGTGAATTTCCTTAATGGCCTTTGAACCCATCATTAAGGATGGCTCTCACACCCCTTGGTTTAGGGTTTCTTGGATGAGGAAAAGGTTCATAGGTATCTGTTGTGGTGGGGAGTCAAGAATCAGCTTTGAATGTTGATGAAGTCAGCACTGTTACAGGTATCTGCTTTAAGATATCCTGAGCCAGAGGCTATTTGTTCTCTCATTCACAGGTTCCCTCTCTCTTTATCAGCTGGTGTGGGGGATTTTGCTCCTGTACCAGGCTCCGTTTCCTCAGGGTGGTGCTTATGAGGCAGGCTCATGGCTTGGCATACCTGCTTGATTCACTGGGCTGCTCTTTATTTTCTTCTACTCTCCAGGTAATCCTGAATTTTCCACCAGCATCATCCTCCTCACATTGCTGCTGTTTCTTGTGCTTTGTGCAACAATGCTCACCGTGTATTGCTGTCGGCGGCATTCGACCAGTAAAGGTACTGTCTGACAAATTGTTGGTTTCCTGTGGGTTCCACGCCTGGTGGTGGGAAAAGCATATGGGGTTTTCTTCCTGGATCTCACCTCCATTTTGTTGTCTGGATGGGTTTGTTATGTAAAATAAGCACAGAATAAATTTCCCCACTGCTTCCTTCCTGAAGTGAGGAGGAAGCAATGGCAGGGCTCAGCCTTCCCTCTGTGGCATCCTGGAGTGGTCCCAGACTGGGCAGCTCCCCCTGCTGAGGCATGTCCCAGCCCAGGAGACTGATGGACATCCAGGTGTGGGCTGACAGGCCCTTCAGGAGAATGGTTCCCACTCACAGCTCTGCCCACTAAAGAGCCACTTCTAATTTAAGAGAAAATATTTTCCTAAGTGTGGTCAAGAGGGAAGTTTGTGTTGTGGTGGAAATAGCTGGGATAGGCTCTGTGGAGTGAATTAGGGAATCATGTGAATGAAATCTGGAAATATCAGCCTTCCTCTGTATTACCCTCTGCTCTTCCCTCCTCCCTCCCAACACAGAAGCCACTGTGTTCTTCAAATGAGATAATATTAAACCACCTCTTACTCCAGAAATAGTTGGGCTACAATACAGAATAGGGATGCAACTCTGCTGTCATATGGCAAATCATCCCACCTGCCATTCCTGATGGGGATCTGTGGAGAAACACAAGGCCTGTGGCTCTGTCTGAGATGGATAGCAGTGAGTTGATCAGTAATTGCAGATGAACATAAATTGGGAAAAAAGAACTGCAAGTCTGTTAGTTTTAGTTCTTCTAAAGAGGTCTTTGCTAATGCTGGTACTTTTTCCCCTGTTGTTTTCCTAAAACTGTCCTAGCATTCCATCAAATCTTTTACTGTTGCCTCTCTAATGTTAAAGGTTGGACTTGATGATCTTAGAGGTCTTTTCCAACCTAAACAATTCTATGATTCTATTCTAAATTTCCCTTTTGGGAGTTTAATTAGGGTAAATGGTGAAATCACAGTACTATAGTGGCAGGAGGGTATTCAGTGAAGGACTAGATGTGTTTTCAGCTTTCAGAGTGAGAGGTGATCCAGCAGCAGATGGGACAGGGGAGGTGCCTGGAGGACTTCCCACTGCAGATCTCCAAGCCTAAATATGGGCATTTGCATTACAATTCTCACTGAAATCAACCTGTGCCCTTTTTTGGCCTCACAGATATTTTTCTTTCAGCTCTGCGGCTCTTAAGCGACATAAACAGGCTTCAGACGAGGAGAGCCTCACTTGTTTGAAAACCATCTGCAAATGAGAAGACCTCTATGCCAGCAGCATCTTCCTCTCTCCTGATGTACGGCAACCAGCTGAAGCAACAGAGGCTGATTCCCATGAGACCTCATGGTCCCATGTTCACTAATGGTCTGTTTTTCACAAATGATCTTCACCACATCCACATGTTCACAGAGGACTGTGATTGCCACAGCTGTTCAGCTCCAGGCCTTCATGAGCAGCACAAGCAGCACCCTGGATGTCCCATCCTCTCCCTGGGCTTGGCTGAGGACAGCAGCCCTCACAAGGTGTGTGGCTGGCTCAGCAGCAAAGCCTTAAGCCAGCTGAGTTATCTCCAGCCGTGTGCTCTGCTTTCTGGAGGTGTCTCCAGGGTTTGTCCTCAGGGAGTGCTTTGTTCTTTGCAATATAAACAGATAGGCAAATATTTTTATTCACAGAGTTATGGGTTGGGTTGGGTTGGGAGGGATCCTAAAGATCATCTTATGAAATAAAAAAAGCACTAATCATACTAAGATGCCTAACTCACTAAATGCCATAATTTCGTAGCTGCAACTTCTTTTGACTGATTTTATTTTTCAATTTGTGTTACTACACTAATGACAATAAAACATCTCCTTAAAAACTGGCTGCTCCTTGGGAACCCTGTATTGATGGTATTGTTACTTGGTTTGTTAATCTCCTTGACAAAGCATCACCATCCCACGATTCCCAAACTCACAATCTGGTATTACTGTCGTGATTAATTTCTTAAATATGGCAAAAGGAAAGACAGGGAGTAAGAGTTGTATCCTGGCACCTGCTTTTATATCCAGACCAACAGTGAGCCTTTGTGGGGGCTGTTTGAAGGCTCATTTCCCAACCTGCCTGAACTGTTTCCTTTGCAATAATTGATGAAGTTTCTGAGCTTTCAAGCATTCAAGAAATTCTTTGGGAACACCCCCTTCCCCTCTGTACTCCCACGGAGAGCAGTGCCCACATGAAGAGCTTCTCATCGTACTGGGGAGGGAGCAGGAGCTCCACGTGAGCTGTAGCTGGTTCCCTTTTGCTGGTGGTTTTCGGCTCTTGTGCACTGCAGATGCCACAGAAGGGGTTGTTAACTGTGAAGCCAGGGGCACGTGAGAGGTATGTGTTGTGCTGTTGCTTGGGAATTTATTCACGTCGTCATTGCCAAGACGCAGATCAAACCTGCTGGTCTGTGTGCAGGGCTGGTGTAATAATTGAAGGTTTACCTGAAGAAACAGAGCCTCTCTCATCTCCTTGCTCCTTATGAAGCCAGGGCTTTTGCATTTGCAGCCACCAATCTAAGCCTGTGGGAACAGTGACAGGCTGAACTGGTTGTACCAAGCACCCACGTTTCCAGTGAGGCCACAACTGAAGGACAACTGCCTGACTTGGGTGCTGTGAAGAGAAAATTTGAGTGAGTGTCTCTGTTCTCAGTTGTCTTCAAAGGGAATGTGGGTGCTCACCATAGACAGCTCTCTACTCCTGCCCTCAGGGCTGGGGGTTGCTCAGCAGGAAACCAGGGGTGGTTCTAGTGTGAAGTCAACATCAAGATACACCTCTCTGTCACAGTCACTGGAATAGAAAAGCAAAAACAGCTTCCTGCTGACTTCTTTTAGTAGAGAGCTGATGTAGCTGGTAGGCAACAGGCCAGCTTGGGGCATCAGCCCTTTCCTCAGGTATTTAACTCATCAGCCAGATTGTGGAGGGCAACCAAAGAGACCTTTGAAAATGCTGTGGATGTCGAGTCTCCCAACTGCATCTCTCTGTCTGCTGCTCCTCCCGTGCTTCCCTGCCCAGAATGGTACGTATGGTGTAGATGCTCTTCCAGTTCAGTATTTTCCTTCCTCTTTTTCACTTCATTGTGTCCAATCCCCCTCCCACTTAAGTGTATTTTCTTAAACAGCTTCCTGCTAGATTCACTGTTAGTGAAAGCAGGTGGAACTTTGTAAAAAGAAAAAAAACCTCTGAAATTACAAAAAGAATTTTTAGAAAAAAAAAGAGAAATTGGTATGATCTGAACTTTTCTACAAGCCAATTGTTCTCTCTAGAAAGAGTGGAACTTGTTTTCCCAGTTATTTCAGAATCAGCTGTATCTGTATTTTCAAGGATGATGGAGGAGCCCACTACTGACAGAAGTGAGTATTTACATTTACTAGGGGCGTATTTATTGAAGGTGTAATAAAACCTTACTAGAAATATCCACTGCTGAATGTTGCTGTGGTTATTAAGACCACAAGCTGGAGGCACCCTCAGGGAAAACAGTGTAAATCTCTGAGGGGAACAGGCTGAGGGAAAAAAAAAGGTCTCCAAACAGTCACTCCTTTTTTCCCCATCACGGTGGAAAGGATGGTGACTTGAGAAAATGATATTATCCATAAATCAGTGTGTCTGAAAGGAAGGGGCAGTGAAACTGGTGAGAATATTCTTTAGTTAGTGGTTACTGAGGAGTCAATGCTGATTTCTGCAAATACAATTTAACTCTTGAACTTCCACCTTGACCTTTGGACAATACGAGTGACGGGCAGTGCTGGCTTGTCGTTAACTTCATGAGGTCTTAGGTCATGGAAAAGTTTAAACTGGGTCAGTTTGGAAGTACTGATTTTTAGGTTGATGGGCTTTCCTTTCCTGATTGTAAAGTGCTCTGCACTTCTTTAGCCTTCTTCAATATTTCTCTGCTGCTTTGGAAGATAATTGCTCATTGGAGTGACCTACTGTATCTATATTCCAGCAATCCAGTCCTTCTGTGTTGAATTCCATGTTTGTTCCCTTATTAAATTGTCCTAAGTATGTAGGGATCCTTAATATGCTTCTCAACATTGAACAATTCAACTTTTTCTAAATTGTGTTTGTCCTAGGCATGCAGTACTCTCTATTTAATTTTTCTTCCCTTGCTTCTGATGTAATTCCTTTTTGGTGTTTCCCATTTGATCCCTCTGTTTCTCGCTATTCATGACACAAGTATTTACTGTTCAGTTTCTTTTGATCCTCAGGTAATTAGAGAACTCAAATATGTCTCATTATACATTTTGGTAGCTTTGTTTCTTACTACAGACTGGAGTTACACCTTCTGCAGTCCTCTTCCTGAGAGGCTGTATTATCCAGTTTCCTGATGTTGATAAATGCTCCTTTCTTTAAAAAGGAGAAGAAAAAAAAAAAGTGTATTTTTCCTCCATTCTCTGTCATTTTTTTTCTTACCTTTGAATTCCAGATTTAGATCCTCAAACAGCTCCAACTGTCAGGCTGAGTTCAGCGAAGCTTGTATTTTGAGAACTGATAGGATCATTCCGGGAATCTACAGAGCAAACTAAATTTTTTGCGTGAGCGACAGAAGATGCTTTTTTGCCAAGGCCTTTTAAGCTTTGGGAGGGTGCTGAGTCGAACAGGTCAATGGGCATGAAAGGCACTACAGGGTTCAGGGCAACCAAGAGATGACATACACAGCATAGCAAGGCCAGTCCAGCCTTACAGATGAGGTTCTGTTGATGGAGTAGTTTGATATTAAAAGATCAATAAGAACTCTGGCATTACTGTCTCAATTGCATTTCTTATCTTTAGGTGGAGAAAACGAAGGGTCAACAGACATTATCAGTGTTTGGGAAGGAGACTCCATCAGCATAACTTGCCCAATCAGTGGTTTTGGAAAGCACCTGGGAATGCACTTGAAAAGTAGCAGAGAGGCAGTCAATATGATATATTTTTCCGTGGATGATCCTCCAAATATCTCTCCTGATTTGACTGGTCGCACCGAGTGTTCAAGGGAAGGAAGGAATTACAGGACAACTTTGCACAATGTGCAGAAATCTGACTCCAATATCTACCTATGCGTCGAGTATGTTACAGTCAATAACCATCACGTAGTGCTGGATGGGAAGAGAACCATAGTAGTGGTGAAAGGTATTGCAATTCCACCCTTTATGCCATGAATTATTAAATACAGATCTATATTTTAAATCAAAGGTTGGAAGCAAGCACAATGGGAGGGAGAGTCTGACAGAACTGTACCCGTGTCTGCTCAGGTGATGAACAGATTTGAAGGAAAGCGTGGGTCTGGTCCCCAAATCATTGAAAAAAGCGCATTAGATAGTACAGTACCAAAAAACCCCCCATCCACCCTAGAACAATTTGTGACTGATTTAATTCTATTTACGGGTTTTCACCTATTAGTCATGGGTAGCTGCAGCAGTTTGGAAACAGTGATGACCTGGAGCTCTTTTTCCAAAATAATCTGTTAAATCCTTATGATTAACTAGCAGAGAAATGAGTCTTTTTTTTTTTTTTTTTTTTTTTTTTTTTTTTTTTTTTTTTTTTTTTTTTTTTTTTTTTTTTTTTTTTTTTTTTTTTTTTTTTTTTTTCCCAAATCTCTTTTGTTTTTACTATTTAATCTTAAATGACATATTGGTAATAATTGGGAGCTGGTGCTAGGCAGGGTCTGCAAGTTGGACATGAGTAGGTAAAGGGTTTTTCCATTCTAAATAAAGAGTTGATGAATGGGCACGAGTGCTCCCTTTGGCAGATTTTTGTGGTTGGGTGAACAGTTTTTCTGTCTTTATTTTTTTGCATTAGAAGAGGGTTTGTGTCCCCATTATTCTTTGGTAGCTTATTCCTTTATGTACCTATCCTTCTGATGAGAAACATCTTTACCAAAACTTATAGTTTTCCTCCTTTCCCGTCCCCAAGGCACATGAAATCTATTTGATTGCTGGATCAGCAATTGTCATTTATATCCATGAGGAATTATCATGTTCTTCCTTAGGCTTCTCTTTTCAAACTTCTTGGCTCTGTGTTCTCAAATGAATTCCATCTTGTTTATTGTGTACTGTTTCTTCAAATTATTTAATAAGTTACTTACTTTATACCTCTTTTTGATTCTGATCCTTCTTCTCAAGGCTTGTGTAAAGGTAGCCTGTTAAAAAATTCATTCTACCTAAATTTCTTGCGTCTGTTCTTTCTGCCTGTGACCTCTACATTTGCTCCCTAGTTAAAATGCACCCTCTTAATTATGTGATAGCCATTAATCTCTCTTGTTTTCAGCTAAAATTGATGGGGCTTTGAAGCAGTCACCGCTCTATGCCAGCCCTCAGCAAGGCCAGTCTGTCAACATCACCTGTGTGATGGACAGCTCACGTGGAGATGGAGGGATCTACCTGCTCAAAACTCTTGTGCAACCTGAAAGTGTTCTGTATGTGTCAAATCAGAATACTGAGAGGATTTTGCCTGCCTTTGCTGGTCGCTTGGAGTATTCAAAGGAAGGGAAGCAAATAGTGATAACTCTACACAACCTGCAGGAAAATGACACTGATAACTATGTCTGTGCTGAGGAGGTGAAAAATGTAAAAAATACCCATCTCCTCTCAGCAGATGGCACCTTGCTGCTGGTTAAAGGTATGTTCTCTTTGATTGTTTAATCGTAGCATCTTGTAATGCAAAAGGTGGACAAGGAGCTTGCAGAAATCTAGTCAGGACAGGTAAAGCACTAATCCCTGGGGAGGCTTCATCCAGTACCTGGGAAAGTTTGGAGAGTGGGCTCAGACTCATCAGTGTCCTGTTATGCTTGGAGGGTTGGAAGGCACTGTATTTCCACCTGCCTTGTACAACCAACCAGAGGGCATTTCAGAAGAGAAAACTTGCTATAATCCTGCATCTTAAGAGAATTAAAAAAGGTCAAAATAAGATAACAAACATTTCGGTGTATGCGTGAATAGTCTGTCAGTTTTGGGATATGATTAAGTATTTTCAGCAGCAGTTCTTTGATCTTAATGTGACATCAATGTTTTTTAGAAACAACTCCCGACAGCAAGTCTTTGTGTTTAAAAATAGGTCACACTGGGGAGCACAGAATAAGTCCTCAGGCGTGTACTTCAAGCCCCACAGACCATTATTGCACACTGAGCACTGTGTGTGCTCCATAAAGGGGTTTTATTTTCCTGCAGGATGGTGCTGTCACCATTTGCTGCTATGAAGACAGAACCAGAAATACAGCGCTTGATTTTGATCTTACTGGTGCAGTTCGACCCTGGGCACTGGGCTTTGCTGAGGCCTTTTTAAAATAAGGTTTACAAAGGCCCTGAGAGCTGCACAGGATCGACCTGCAGTCTGCAAAGACGACTGTGGTCTCATTTTGTGCTGCCACCCACAACTGGGGTGACAGCTCAGTGAAGTGAGCTGGGGAGAATGAAAGCAGCACACCAAAGCAGCAGGGTGATGATGTTAGTCAGATATGGATGAACTGAGGTTTTAGAGAGCTGGAAGCCTTTCCACTAGCACTGTTCTGCTCAGTGGAGTACAGCAAATCACAGGACCCTCCTGCTTCTGTCTGTGCTGCTCACGAGCTGGCTGTTAGACAATTCCTTCTGAGCCCTCAGAGTAAAACGTTTTCTGTTCCCATCACGAGTGTGTGGTCCTGCTTCTGCCCAGTGGTGTGGAAGCTTCTGCCTTCGTAGAGTGCTCCTTGCTGACCCTTCCCATGCCACCTGCAGCCGTTGCCAGCCTCTGGAAGAGCCCAGGGACTGCCACTGGGAATAGTAATGGAATGACAAATGTGGCTGTGTGGCTTTTGATATCTGATTTTTTTCTTGACGTGTAAATAATTTTTTTTGAATAAAAAATAAAATTCTACCCGTTCATACAATGATAATGTTGATGATGATGACAATAATAATAATAATAATAATAATAATAATAATAATAATAATAATAATAATAATAATAATAATAATGTGATTTTAGGTGCAGAAAGGGGGCAGGCACGCTCCCAGAAGGCATGCAGTGATAGTTCCTGGGTCATCTATTCTCTCCTCATCCTGGTGGTACTACTGCTTTGTGCACTGGTTTGCTGCACCTTGTACCGTGTCAATGTAAGTGTGCTCTCACCATGCCAAAGCAAAACTGTGTCCAGGGTTGAGCCAATTATTTGTAAACAGTGACTGAGTGAAGCAAACTTTTGATCAACCTAAGGAATTGTGGCTTTCTATTGTTTCCTATTTGCCTTTGTTTAATGTCTCCCAGCTGTAAGCCCTTCCAGTAAACACAGTGTTTTATGCTTCTCTAACTCTGTAAATGAGGTATTGTTTGCTTTTTGATAACAAGCCTCAAGTGAGCCACATGGTCAACAACACAGCCATGGATGTACCTCACTGGGCAAAGCACCTCAGTGTCCTTTTTAAAAAATTTTATGTGAATTGGGACTGGAGCTGGACACGGTAAGCTTGTAAGAGATGTGAGAGAATGTTTGGAGGGGGACACAAAGGCAACAAAAAGTCATAAATAGCCTGATGTCTGAAAGTAGCACTGGGAGAAAAATTTTGCCCCATTCTAGAAAAAAAAATTCCCAATTTTTTTTCCCCTTTACTGGGATTATTTATATTCATGTACTGCAGAAAGTACCCAGAAATTATTTATCTCTGATCGATTCTTCTACTCCATAAAGATTACTGAAAATTAACAGTGTGTGATTCACAGGCTCGTGTCTTGTCTCTCCACATGTGGCTTCAGCACTGCTAAAAACCAGTAGGACAACATCATTCTGTCCAAGCTCAGTGGCCCTGTGGGAACTGGTCTCTCATGTCACCAGTAACAGACTGAGCCTTATTTCTGTAGGAGCTACAGTTACATCCAAATCCTGAAGGAACTTTTTGGTGAAACTGCATCAAACTGACAATAGAAAGTTAAATAAATAGGTTGATAATTTCCACTTGCTCCTCTGAAAAAGTACATTTCCTCTTCCAAGTGATTGATAGACTCCTAAAGATGTAGATGGATTCCTAAGATGAAAATGGACTCCTTTGCTGGGGTCCTTTCCAGGTTCTGCTCTGGATGGCTGTTTCCTTTGTTTTGCAGATAAAGAAATACTTCCAAAAACCCACTCCAAATGTGGTTTATGAAGATATGTCTTACAGTTCTAGACGGAACACACTGGTCAGAACTAACACCTACTCCAGGGGCAGTGAAGCTTAAGCTGGGACCATGTTTGCATCAGCATCAACCATTCCTTTGTGGGTCTCTCTGAGAGCTGCTTCAACACTCTGATGTGGTAGTTGAACTGAAAATGCCATCACCTACCTTTTCCAGTGGAAAGAAAAAAAAAAATAACTTCCAAAGCTTTTTTCTGCTTTTTTACTTTTTTCTTTTGCAATGTATAGAAAATGTAGTGAAATGCAGGTACCCTGTACATGTGCCTGCAGTTCGGTATGAAAAGCAGGATTTTTGGACTCTGCATTTGGCTGGATGCATCATATGGGCTTGTTTCTTTGATAAGTAACCCTTTCAGGGAAGGTGGGATGGATGGATGGAGAGGTCTGGTTCTCAGCTTTGGTAAGTGCTCAGAAGAGTCTGTTTCAATAAGTTGTACTCGATCCACTCATGCAAGGATTAGAGTTCTCTCATGAATCCTCCTGGGTCTGCCCGGGAGCTCAGGGAGCTAAAACTACTCAAAAGTTACAGCAGGGAAATCTGTTCTGAGGAGACTTCAGAGATGTGGCAGGGTGCATCACAAGTGAAGTGCTGGATATACATGTGGGCTTACCTATTTCAAGGTCATAACAGTCCCATGAAAGTGCAATCAAGTCTAGATTTCAACTTGCTGCCTTTGTCAGAGATACCGGCACGACTGGTGCGGGTCTCGACACGGTTGACAAGCAAAGTGATCAGACTTAGGGCGTGGTGGCTTGTTGGGACAGCAGAAATGTTTGTGATGTGCTGGTGATGTCTCCAACTCCACATGTCCCAGGGCAACCCAGCAGAATGCATTTCTCCAGGTCAGTGACTCCACACTTTCCAATACAGGGTGAAATAATCTGGGATAAAGCCGATGCCTGCATTCCAACGTGGGTGGGTCTGATCTAAAAATCCTTCTTATCAAAGAAGGAATTTATCAAAACTCTCATCAGTCAAGTGGAAGCTAGATTTGGTTTAGAAACAGCTTCAAACAGATCTTTCCAGGGAGCTCAGCTGAGGGTGTTTGGTTTAGCAGAGCCTGGGGCTGCTGTGGAAAGTCAACAATGCCCAGAGAAATGTCGAATTGCTCCATTACAGGGCAGGATTGATGGGGTTGGTTTGTGGTTTCTGAGGACATGCTGAGGCTGGAGTTTTTCTCTGTTGATGTGTTTGTTTATTTTTTTGAGGGATAAGCGTCAGTTTGCCTGTGATGAGTGCATGGCTGGAGCGCAGCCAGGCACAGAGGATCCTTCCTCTCCGGAGCTGAGCTGTGCCAAGATCCCAGTTTGCCAAGCCAGTCCTGCCCCTCAAAGAGAGCCCATTTCCCTCCAGATATTACTCATGAAATGCTGTGCACCAGACTTGAGGGGGAAATCTGCTCACTGGGGTGGCTGGGGGAAAATGGGTTCACTTTGTGAACAAAGAGGTGCCATCTTCACATGACCATACCTGAATAAAATTGTTTTTGTGATGTACAGTTGCTTGATATTTTTACACCTATATTAAAAACTATTTCATATATCTTGCAAATAAATGCTGGTTATTGAATGGTCTGTTTCTTTTAGTGTTTTGCTGCTTTTTTTTTTTTTTTTTTTTTTTTTTTTTTTTTTTTTTTTTTTTTTTTTTTTTTTTTTTTTTTTTTTTTTTTTTTTTTTTTTAGCAGGGATTCAAAGGCTTCTTGCACAACACAGAATAAACTACTCCTAACAGCACCACACTAAACAACATAATAAGTGTTTTCCACTTCAATCACACAACCTACATGTGAGGTTTTTATCTTTTTAAAACTAATCAACAAAGAAAATACCAAAGAGCACTACAGACAATGAATATTCCATGTGTCTGAGAACATCGTCCAAACACTTCTTGAACTCTGGTAACTTGGTGCTGTGACCAGTTCTGACTTTGTCCCTGCACAAGCCCAGCTCGGGGGTGGATGAAGAGCTGGGGAAGAACTAACAAATTAGGTACCAATCCAGGAACCAAAGTGCTCATAATCCCATAGTCAATCACTTTCCATTTCATTTTTGGGAAAAGGTGCAGGTTTAGTAGAAAAGGGCAAAACCTCTGAGAGTCAAAACACAGAGATTCACAACGAGCAAAGTGACATTCAGCTTTCTGTAGCAACACCACTGTGCAAACACGACCACAGTTGTGAAATAAAAAAGCAAGCTGTGAAAGGAAACAATAGTGGAGGTGGTTTCTTTGGCTTGGCGTAAATAAGTTTAAAAAAAGAAGTAACGCCTCGCTGAGGAAAATGCCACATAGTGAGATGTGTGATGGACTGTATGTGGACAGGGGTAGACAATCAGCACCACAATTAACCCACGCAGTGGTGAATGAACTGCTGGGGAAATTAGCTCAAGTGCCAAGGTGAGGGTTGGGTATTTGGCTGCTGGAGAGGATTGGAGAGGTCTGAGGATGCAGTGTGGTCTCAGGGCTTCCCTGGAAAGCAGCCAGACTGAAATTTTCATGCCCAGAGCTGCAGACAGAATTGCTCTGGGCTTATTGTGTTGCCTTTGCTGTTTTACTGTTTCCTGTCCCTGCACTCAAGAGGGAAATAAAATCATTTTCAAGGAGAGGTGGGAAGTGCAGGGTAAGGCTCTGAGGCTGGGCCAGGACCCACAGTGATGAGAATGGTATCGGGGTATTAATGAGGTCCCAACCCCATTAATGGGATAAATGACAGGAATTGCATCTGGGAGCAAATCAGCCTCAGGTGGGGAGCAGAGCTGCAGCTCCAGTATTGGAGTTTATGGAACAGGGATGGAGCAAGACAAGGCAGCTGGGCAAGGACAGTATGTCAGAAGCAGGGAAAACCCACCAGGCAAGGCACGAGTCACGTGTGAAGTGACTCAGGGGCCAGGTCTGGATGGAGTGGCCTGGACTGAGTGCTTGGGAAGGGGAGGGCTCATCAGAAGACTGGAGAAATCAGCCAGCACATGCAGATTAGTGCTGAGGGAGCCCACACAATCAGGGAAATTTAACTGAGGAAAGCATTTTAACCTCTTGACTAAGATGTGTCTGACAAGGATGAGCTGAGCTCAGATGCCAAGGAGGCCGATAAGCAGAGCTCACCCACAAACATTTTGCAGGAGGGTGGTATAAAGGTGGTATGAGGACTGTGATATATTGTAGGGCACTGGAATGCTCCCAGTGACTATCCTGCAAACCAGTGTTTGTGGCAGTTGTAAATGCCACCTGAAGTACGTCTGAATCCTTCGCTGGGAGCGTTATCTGGAATCAGTTCCTCCCACCTGAATGTCGCTGATTGCTGCTTGTGACCATTCTTCCACCCAGTAACTCCTGCAGGAGACATTCTGGTGTATAATTTGGAGGACATGACCAAAATATGTCCAAGCCGCTGACTGGTGATTTCTCACGGTCCCTGTGTTAGCAAAGAAACTATTTCCATTCCCAGTATGCAAGCTTTTGCAAGCACTTGTTTTCCAAAACAATTAGTTTCTTTTTGAATGTTTTATAACACTCAACTTGCAATATCGTATTAGCAGTCAGCTCACAGTCAAGTTGAAAGGGTTTTTTTTCTGGTAGTTCACAGATTTGGTTTTCTCACATTTTAGAGCTCTGAGGTTCTGAAAATGCCTCACTGGTGCCACTTCTTTAATCTGACATATTTGGTTAATATGTTGGCTTCTGCACTAGTTAGTGAATTCTTTTACTGCTTGACATTTAAATGTAACAGTATTTATCTTGTTTTGCGTGGTTAGTAAGACTATTTCAAATCCTTCAGTAACAACTGGACACTGGCTATGTGCAACAAGCAAGAAATCTTCCAAATTCCATTTAAAGTCTCATAAGGTTTTAATTTACTTCTTAGTAAATCATTGATAGCAGATTACTGCTTTTAATTCTTGTATAGCCAGAGCATCCTGCCTTATATAGTCTATAGAATAGTCTCAGAGAAAGACTATGTAAGAGTCTCACGTAATTTTTTCATTTAAGAAATCGAAATAGAGCAACTCGTCTAAATATTGACCAGAGGGAATAAGTCTCTTTGTCCTAACATTAAAATTTTGAAGTGTTGTCATCATCTTTCCCATACAAGTAGATTATCTGTCCAGCTTGAGAATGGGAGGCAGAGTATTTCTACAGAGTTTTTTGTACAGAGTATTTATATATATAAATATATATATATATAAAAATAACTGCTAGTAGGGCTGAATGAACTCTCGTGGATCGTGCTAATGCCTGTGTATCTACTTCACAAGAACAATTATTTTGCTTTTGGGTGGTATTTGACTGCAGCAACTGCCTGGCATATGTCTGAAGCTCTCCCCAGAGAACAGGCCCATCTCCCCAGAGAAGATTTTCACCTTATTAGAAATGGTCTGCTACACCCTTATGCTTCTGACTGTAATGGGAATAATATCTTAATATTGCAGATGCCAAGTGGAAGCTGCTCCCTCATTCCTTCTGTCAATGAGTATTGATAATTAGTAACTCTGGGAAAGCCGTTAAGCTCATTCCTCTGAGCAGTTCATGACACCCTGAGACATTTGGTCCATCTTGTCTTAACTCAGTGGAAATCTGCACAGAGTCACAGAATCACTAAGGTTAGAGAAGACCCCCAAGAACATCGAGTCCAACTCTTAACCCATCACCACCGTGTTCACCACCAAACCATGTCCCCAAGTGCCACATCCACACGGCTTTTGAACACTCCCAGGAATAACGTGTGTGTTTCTTCAAGGAATCTGGTTGAGCTCTGGGGCTCAGGAGCCAGTTTGGCATCCACAATTCTGATAAGATGTGGAGGGCTAAATGACAGTCTTTTCTTATACAAGTTGTAAAAGCTTATTCTGGGGCTTCTTGTCCAAGGAATGCTTTACCGATGGTAACGATAATTTCATCCTCAGACAGCAGAGTTTTTTAGTCTGCTCTGGTATGACAGAGGAAAAAAAAGAGAGCTTTGTGTTCTGGGGTCTCTTTCTCTACATGTATTACCTTACAGCTTTGAGACAAGAAACCACTAAGACCAGTTAATGCTTGTGGTTTACATCTGCATTGTGTTATCTCTAACCAGAGACACAATTTGACAGCGAGCTTCTGGGTGAGTGACATTTAAGGTATGTAGAGATGGCACTTTGCACAAATGTCCCTGATTTCTGAGAAATAAGATTATTTACGCAGTTCTGTAACATCTCTGTGAATTTCTCTTTTACTC